ACTAAGTTTCCATTGCAATTTCTAATATAATATTTGTTAATATTATGTTAAAATAATGAAAATTTTTTCTATATTGTTTGTATTTGAGAAGAATTAACAAAATAATGGTAACAGTATGGTTGGTATATACTTGAATAAACTGGAATTTTTTGGCCAACCTAATATTAAGCATTTTAAATTATTATCAGCATATAAACATTATTTTAATAGAATATTAGCTCTATTATAATTTCTTCCTATTATACGGACACATGTGAATACAATAATTGCATCAAGATTCAATTATTACTTTTACATTAGATAAATGTATATGGTTCTTTAATACCAGAAAATTTCAATTCTGTTATTAAAATGTTGATAGGGGAACCATATGACTTGTTCATCATTTTTATACGTGGAACACTTTTTAAAAACTAATAAATGAAACTCAAGAAAATGTAGTTACATAAATGAACAATAGCTTTCAGTAATATTTAAAAAAATCGTATAAAAGTTTATGTGACCAATGCAAACCAAAGTTCATTATACTGGTCTTTTCTATACTGATATTATGAAATAAGTTCTAATTTTATATGATGTATAATGCACACTGATGAGACAGTAATGTAACAGACACATGTATGTAACTACGACTCCAAAAACCTATTCCATTGTAACGTAGTACAATTTTGACTTAATTCAGCTCATATTATAGGAAATATCTGATAATGTTACTCACACAATCATAAACTTTACAAATATATATATATTTACAACTATATACAATAGAGGTATGTAGAAATGTTCATTGAATAAGAAATGGAAGTAGCATAAGTAACATTCACGATTTTTCACTATTCGCAATGTACGCAGCGAAAGAAACAGAAGCAAATTTGCAAATAAAATAATATGAATTTTCATAAAAGCTTCGTAGTTATTTTAATACAGCTTTCGATATTGCACGTTTCCCAGGTTAACACGATTTCTGCATGATACGCACACGCGCTCAAGCACATGCTACGTATGCAAGAAATGCTTACATTCCTAAGAAAAGAACTGTCAGCCGTCACCGTCTCCGACGTTTTTTGATTGGTAGAAGAGAAATAAGGGGAAATGTTTAAGTAGCGTAGTGGGATAAAGAGTTGCGAGCGGTAGCGTGTACTAAAGGATCACCGATGAAAGGGAGGGACATGTGGCGATGCACATATACATACGTGTATCGCGATATGTATGTTGCTGTTCCTGTAAGCTCAACGTTTCGCGTTACTTTCAGTTTGAACCGTGTTTGAACCCCACAAGTTATGTACTTGGAATACAATATATATGTACATATATGTATACATACGTATGCAAATAAGAGACATCGATAATCAATATTTATTGTGTGGGCAGACAAATATGTTCGATATACGTAGGAAGTTAAACAAAAATTTTTAATGCAAAGACAGATTCGTATGTTTCTTTCTTTTTGGTAAGCTATAATATATATATTTTTAACATATATTACTGATAATTTTCGTACAGATTCATTTAAGTTTCAAATTATGGAAATAAATAAATAAATAATTCCTGGTAATAATATGTACAGATGCCTTATGTATTATATCCGAATCACTTTAAATAGTTTATAATTACAGAATGTATTTGGAGAAAATATTTATCAGTACGTAAATGTAAAATACTAATATAAAAATATTTGCAATAATCAATAATAATATAATATAATATAATATAAATATATATAAAAATAATATAATATAATATAAAAATAATGCAATAATTAATACGCAAAAGTATGCATTTGCAAACGTGATATTTACTATTTAATTTCAAGTTTTTAAACTTTCTTGCGTAGCTCACATACACAAATAATTATATCTGATTGAATTACAGTTATTTAAACAGAGAAACATCGTATTAAATTTTTGGACTATAGGCACACACGCGCGCGCGCGCGCGCAGCACACATTCGTATGAAATCCAAATGAATTCCTTGGATTCACCGCAGGAGGGTTTTAAGAAGTGGGGTAAGCAGCAAGGGTGGGGAACTTAAGAAGAAGGGAGAGGGGGGAAGCATAGAAATCCGCAACGACCAACGAACGACGCTTCGTAAAGCAGACTCATTTGGTTTTCAGTCACGTATTCTTGATCATTCTTGATTCGTCAGTTCGTTTATAGATCGTTCCTACGCTCGTAATCTCACGCACAGAGACACTTTGCGATATGTATCAAGTTAATAAATCTCGTTCAGATGATTAACAATTATCACGATGACACCGTGAAACGAATAAACCGAACGAACAGGTGTATTAAAATAAAAAAAGATAGATCTCACGGTGCGAGGTTGTCAAAGAGACATCGTCGTCGAATCAATTATTAAAGAATCAGACTCAATTAAAAGGCTTGAGCAACAATTGCTACGATGACCGCCGCATACACGAACGATCTTATAACCCAGGAACAGCACGCGGAGAAGAAGATGAGCACGATGATTAATAAAGCGCTGTGCGACCAAACTAAAGAGCGAACAACGGACGAGGAGAACACCGAAATCTGTTCTGTGGAAAAGACGAAGCTCACAACAGGTGGCCAGGATCAAAAGGAAATCCCCGTTAATCCCGAAGAATCGTCGTCTTCCGCATCGATTAATAGATTGATCCGCGACAAACAAAATGACGAAGTCGCTTCGAAATGCAAGACACTTGCTGCCACGGAAGCGACGGAAATATCGGAGAAAAATGAAAATACCGTAACTATAGACGACAAAGAAGACGCGATCGTAGAGTCAGCCGGAATCGAAAATAACGATGTGCCAGTAGACAGTGAATCAATCGTTGCGAGTTCGGTGAATTTTGACACGACGGTATCACCATCAGGCCTCGATGTGCATCTTAGTGAAAGTGATGCTGAAAACACGATCCCAGAAACACGTGGAAACGATTCTCCGACGAAGAATATTTTTCAAATGCAAGAATTACAAAATTGCATCAAGTCCGTTGTTACGAAAGGCGCAAATGTTTCAAGTAATCATCATGACATTTCTAACGGGTTGCTCGAAGCAGCGGACTTTCGAAATATCTCCGAAGAAACGTACGATCCGGAAAGTGAACTGAATTTTCACGAGGCTGTACGTGCCGGAGACGCTAAGTGCGTCGCGGCGCTTCTTGCAAGGGACTCGATACAAAACCTGGACGAACCGGATTGGAATGTTTCAGGTGATCCGCCCTTATTAGTGGCCGCTACCAATCATTGTTTGCCTGTTCTCGGGTAAGAATATTTCAAGTATAAGGATTCATTTTTATCATAGACTATGTAACGATTCGATATATATTGTTTTATACTATATAATATATAATATAATATAATATTATATATAACATAATATATAATATAATATAATATTGTTAGACTATTGTCTAACAGACTAATTTCCTTAAACAATCGCGAGCATTAATAAAATAAAATATACACATAATGTTGAAAAATTAGTGAAATTATTAATTAAATAAAGTTCGAGAAGTCATTCGACATCTATTTTAAAAGAGATGCGCCTTAAAATTATAAGAATCTACGAATTGTTCGTAATATTAATTAATTAATTTCGGAGTTTTCAATGAAAGATGATCGACAACGTTATAAAATTGTTCATCCCTGCCTAAAGAAAGGTAATATATTTTTACATGATAAATTGAACGATTAACGAATTTTAATTTTGGTTTCGTAAATCTCAGTAAGCAATTTTATAAACGTCACCAAAAATATTTTAATGTTAATATCGTCGCCTGTAATATACGTAATTTTTTTTAATAAACCTAGCATTAAAATGAAACATATTATATGGAAACTATCCTTGCTTCCACGCTTTGGTATACTTTTCTTAAACATATTGTAACCAGATGTTCAAAAGGTCCACTTTATTCTCGAAAGAATCTCGGGATCTTGGCTTTACAAATTTACGCACACAACAATACTGACGCATCGAAAACGATTTACGTGTCAATTTATTAATAAAAATATTAGAAACTGTAAAATAAAATTAAAAAAAAAGTGGGAGCAGCTTTCTCCGTTAAGTCGTAATACGAGATGATTTATTTATTAGTTCACTTATGTTTCAATTCAAAACTTACGTTTTAATTTCCTATAGAATATTTTAACTGTAAAAAAAATATTTAAATACGACGGAAAAAATAAGTGAAAATTTACGGTTTTATAGTTTACTTCTTGCGAACGGATGTGATCCAGCTGTTCGTTCGCCTCGAGGAGAGACGGCGCTTCACAGGGTGATCTCAAATGGAGGGCCAGGAAATGTATTGCAATTTGTCGGAGAACTGCTGAAATATGGTTGTCCATCGGGCGTTAAAGAAGCCGGCGGCGGATTGACCGCGTTACACATATTAACGCGGCAATTAGCGCACGCACAAGGATCAAAAAACCTTCATCATAATTTCGAAGCGGCACTGAAAACTCTCGATTTATTAGCACGTGCTGGCCCTGTTAACGCGAAAGATCATCAAGGCCGTAGCGCACTTCACATTTTAGCCTCTTCAACAATCTTTGGTACAGACATACCCATAATTTTAAATGCTACATTTTCACTTTTCACATCCAAGATTCAAATAATTTGGATAGAAGAAACTTCAGCTGATCTGCAACTTTTTGTTTTTTGAAGGCACAAATTGATATGAATTGCATGAAATTAAATATACATTACCTTTGCAATCTAAGAAAATTTAACGATAAATATTATATTTCATAATAACAAGTAAAATATATACAACTAGATTAAATTATATGTTACATTAAAAGAATTTTTAATATTTATAAGTAATAATTTTTGGTCACATGTTTATGAAAGGATTAATATTACTTCTAATCTTCTCTCATATATAAATCAACGAATTTCTATAGTTTATACTTATAATTTTGCAATCATTAGAAATGAAAAAGCATTGTATAGATTTTTTTATCCTAAACAGTCCCTTTTAATGAATTATTTGATTAAATTGAACTTTCTTCTTACAGATAATAATCACAGAACGGAAATTGAATCATTAATTGGAATTTTATTAGCTGCCGGTGCTGATCCATCGTTGAAGAATGACCGTGGGGAAACTCCTTTACACGAATGTCTAGAGTGTGGTGCTTTGAACACAGCGCTTTTACTAGTACCGCATACTTTAACTGGTCTTATGTCACGTTATGGTGAGACACCGTTACACATTGCCTGTAGAAAGAACTACCCCGATATGGTGGCAAAATTATTAGAACAAGGAGAAGATCCTAGTGTACAAGATGCCGGTGGCAATACGCCATTGCATTTAGCTTCAGCGAGGGGATTCCATCAAATAGTTTCTTTATTAGTTACGTCCCCTCTCGCACAAATAGAGAAATGTAATAGCGAGGGCTTGACCGCCCTCCAAGTAGCCGCAGAAAGTGGTTTTGTTAATGCAGTGAAACTACTGTTAAAAGCTGGTGCTGATCCAAGTCAAACGGTCCACTATTGCACAACTACTTTACATCGTCATCCCGATATTTCAGTTTTAATAGATCACGAATTAAGTAGACGTCGTCAACTCGCAGCTTGATTACTTTTTCTAATACCGTTTCGTTGTGGGAAACGTTTAATTTTAGTAAAATTGATCAAGAATTTATTTTTCTATAATGTTAAAACATTCAATAAAAATTAATTCTTACTTGAAACTGTAAAATTAACTTCTACATAAAATATTAAATAATACACGTTCAACTAGAATTAATCGAAACTTCAAATTTGTAAAGGTCATCCTTTCCACTTGTACTAATTTCATAAATATTGGTATAACAATTAACGTATTAAAACATTATTGTTGACTTTGTATTTAATTAATACGATTCTTTACGCTGAATCCTCGAAATTCTCGATTACGTTAAAAAAAAAACTTCGCAAATCTAGGTAGTTCCGATACTACAATTTAGAAAATTTAGAAGAAAAAAAATAGCTCAAAGTCTGTTAATTTTGTTTTATGTTTTGCTTCGTTGTTAAGTTTAGATGTTAAAAGTATGTTATACGTAAGAAAATAGAATAATCTTTTTTCTTTGCAATACATCATTAGAATGGATAAAACTTGTTGAAACAACATCATGATCATGTAGTGTTTAAAACCAATGAAAAAAATCAATTCTTCGTGCGAGATTTTACTACACGTGTATGTTGTCATTTAATTTGGTCATTGTTGTCGCATTAACAAATACTGTTATTTGTTCGTTGCTCAATATACACTGTCTAGTATTCAATGATTTGAAATTCGACAGAGATCGTTATTAGAACTTTATAAATGCTTCTACATTTTTCTGGCTGTGGTTAAACTGCACTTTTAAAG